TGTTTTTCAGCTCCCTTGGAGGTCTTTGAGGTAGATTTGGCCTTGGCCGAGATCTTACCTGTGGCCTCTTGATTAGAGGATTTGTGGCATTTTGCAGTCGCGGAGGACGGCAAGACGTCCTTTGTGGAGGGCCTAGAATCCTCCATTCTCGGGTAATACAGGAGCACGATAGGAGACTCCTGATATCCGGAGACAGCTATTGGTTGGATAAGAACAGGTGCACTATAGGGGACACCTAGAATCCAGATAGAGCTGATTGTGTGGATAAGAACAGGTGCACGGTAGGGGATGCATGGTATCCAGACAGAGCTGTTTGTGTGGATAAGAACAGGCACACGATAGGGGATGCCTGGAATCCAGATAGAACTCATTGTGTGTATAAGAACTGGTGCACGGTAGGGGACACCTGGTATCCAGACAGAGCTGTTCGTGTGGAGAAAAACAGGTGCACGATAGGGGACGCCTGGAACCCAGATAGAGCTGTTAATATGATTAGGCCCAGGATCACAATAGGGTAATCCTGGTTTTCAGGGAGACCTGGAGACAGCAAAAACCCAGAAATTGAATCCAAGGAGGTTAAATGCACGGGAAAGAAGGAGCAAATCGGATAGAACCAATCCTGTTAAGCAGGCTGTGAAATGGATATATTACAGACCTGAGTGGCTGTGGAGATCAAATACTGACTGAGGTCTGACAGGCCTTGGAATGGTGTTGAGGGAAAGATCCAAAATGGCTGCCCGTCTCTAGGTGACCAGGTGTGGAGACACCACTGATTAGCCAGGTAAGGTTGTATTTAGAGCAGATGAAGGAAGTAGGCCTGAGGAGTCTAGCAGGCCTGTTCTGAGGCAACAGTGGCCGTGCAGGGTCCCTGTGCAAATGGTGGCACCAGGGGAGAAAAGAGCGCAGAGCAGGCCCCAAGATGGCGGCCTCAAGAAAGACCCAGTCCCAATAAGGGACACAAAAGGCGGCCACACCCAAAAAGGCTGCCACACCCAGAATGGCAGCTCAAAATGGTGGCCACACTCAAAAAGGCGGCTGCACGAGGTCTGAGGGTATTGCTGCCAGCACCCCCTTCCACCCTCACGAAGAAAAGCTGGAAAAGAGGTAATCGGCCTTCCGAACATGCGCCAGCTGCAAATGGCCGTTTTTAACCTTCGCATGTGTCCAGAGGCTTTTCCAGGCAATGGGGAACTGTGGAGGGCTGAGGAGCAGCACTGAGCCTAGTGCTGTCCAAGAGTAGAAGGAGGGCTGTGTTACAGAGGAAAAGCAAGTCCCCCCAGCCTTTATGGTTGGAAGTGGGGGGGAGGGGGAGGAATGAAAGCCTCCGTTCCTAGTTAAAGGCAAACAGTTCTTCAGCCAACTGAGAGGAAAAACACAGTGCTGAATATAGCACTGTCTCAGAATACTGAAGAGAATAGAGAATAAAGAATCCACCAATGGAAACTGTACCTGCCTATGAGCCAACTTGCTACGTCTGTCTTGGGCAAGATCAAGTCGAGACTGCGACACTCTAGCCCAGGACAGACATTGCAACTTTGGCTGACTTGATCTGATAGGGAAGGAACACAGTCTAAACCCATTGGTGGATTCTCCAACTCCAGTGCTGGAGAATCACAATGGACTTTTCTCTGAAAATACAGAAATACCATAATTTGGACTGCTACTAACCTTTTCTCAAAGCAGGCTCACTGCCCTGGTCTTCCCTCCACCCAGTAACTGGCTAAACTATTTTAAAAACATATCTACACGGAGCACCAAGAAGAATCATATCAGACCGAGGAGTCCAGTTCCTCGAACCGCCCCAGGTCCCATTATGGTGGAGGGTGACACCCATTATGAAATAAGAATTTTTGATTCTAGATGGTATAAAGAGAAATTACAGTACCTAGTTCAATGGAAGGGTTATCCTTTGTCCGAAGCTAGATGGGTGAAAAGTAGAGATGTAAAGGCGGATAGATTAATACAGAAGTTTCATGATAAATATCCCCAAAAACCTAGTGAACTTCCAGACAATAGAATAGAGGATTAACGAAAAATTAATGTGTATCTGTGCTTGTTATTTTTCAGGAACTGCTTTCTCTTTAGGGGAGCGATGTCAACTTCTGAAATGAATCTGGCTGAACCCATCTTTGTCATTCTAAGTTGCCACAGGGTTAGGAGGAAGGGGGAGAAAGAAAGCAACAGCATTGCTAGACTAAACACAGAGCAGTCCCGTGGGAACCTAGAACATTCCCACAGGAACTGGAAAGTGGAAAGAAGTTTCATGGAGCCCGCCAATCACATTTATTGGGTAGCGTGGTCAATAGCATGGTAGAGGGGAGGGAATTGTTACATTTAGTTACATTGCATGCCTAGGGGGATTTTTAAGAGTTGGTTTCACCTTTGACCGTGCCAATATTATGTATCCAATAAACATGTTCTTTGAGGAAACTTCAAGCCTCGGAATTCTGATTTATTTGGTTTCATTAGTCGGAGCCCTGACATAAAGATGAAACAAAAAATATAAAAGCTGATAAATATATCACACAGAGAAAATACTGGGAGTCCTTCAGAATAATCTAAACATTAGAACTTTTTGGAGATGGCAGAAGAATAGGAGGAAACTATTTACAGTAAACTAACTGCAATAAACTGTAGCAGAAATGGCCTGACACATTGGATTTTCGTAAAACCATAAAAATTAGCCCCAAGTTAATCCAATCTTTAGCTCTGATTAATATTTGGTTGTGTTATTGCCTATTTTGATACATATTTTTATTAAATCATGGTTCAGTTTAATATAGAACGAGTAACAGAAATGTACCTCATTAATCTGATTTATTTAGAATAAGAACATCAGGAATATTTTGTGTACAGTCAAATCATTACTACCATCTGGAGGCTGGTTTATGTAACAGTACCAAACCTATATCCTATCGAATTTCCATGGTTTTATATAGTACACTAAATATAATTCTTCCAAAGCAAAAAATATTTATAACTTCCACAAATGGTTTCAGCCACTTAATAGATATTTCTTCTTTCATAATTTCAAACCTGTCATTCAAAATTCCAATGATTCAAGTAAATGTGTAATCTATGACAGATAAAGAGCCAGTTTAGTGTAGTAGTGTCAGCACTAAGCTAGAAATCAGGAGAACCTGGGTTCTAATCCTGCTTAAGGCACAAAGCCAACTGGATGGCCTTGGGCCAGTCACGGTCTCTCAGCTTCTAGGAAGAAGGCAAAGGGAAACATTCCTATCAAGAAAACTGCAGGCATATTTCCAGGCAGTCCCTAGAGTCAAGAATGACTTGAAGGCTTACACTTAAATAAATATTAGTGTGAAAATAAAGCAGGACATTTAGTTTTCAAATACGTTGTTTCTTATTAAATACAAGATTCCATCGTACCTTCCTTGTTCTTCCTTAGTTCTTAAGGAAGATTTACCAAGAAGTACTTGTCACACAAGTGCCTTAGAGACTATCATATCTATGCCTTTATATTGTCCCTACTACCAAAGCAATCAACAAACTTTTATCCTCCCTTTACTGTTTTATGGGTCAAAAACAAAAAAAATTCCTATTGATTTTCTTCAGTCAGACAGGAAATTATTTATCAAGTATAACGTTGCCAGATTTTGCATTGCAGTGATTAAAATTTGTAAACATAATTATCAGTATAGGAGATGGGCACGCATATTAGAGATTTTTTTAAGATCACTATTACATTAACTAATAGTGTCTCAAAGTGAGGCTAAAGTTCTCAGTTTAGACAATCCTGTTTGATCCTATTGCATTTCAGTGATATTAATACAATTGATGTTAGCTACCATATTTTGATGCTACAGTATTATGTAATGAAAAATAATCAATATATCAATTAATTTAATAAATCAAATAAACTCAGATATATTTATGACAAATATATATTGCATCCAAATACAAGATAAAGGACAATCACCACTGAGTCAAGTTCCACTCTTGAGGATTATCTACATGCTTTGTGGGGGATTTTTTTTGCAACAATATAGGATTGGATTACCAGTGTACCTTCCACTGGAATGTCTTTCAACTTCCTAGTCTGCAGTCCTGGAATTTTGGAATTTCTTGGTAGTATCTTACCTAAGTACTGATTAAGTCAGACTTTGCTTAGGTTTCTGTAATCAATCTGTTAGCTGAATGTCTTTGGGCCAGTCACCCTCAGCCTAACTCACCTCACAGGATTGTTGTGGGGAAAATAGAAAGGTGTGTAAGATATGTTTGTAAATATGTTTGAGTTATTTGTAAAAAATAATAAAGGCAGGAAATAAATAAATAAACACTCCTGGGCTGGGTCAGATAAAGCAATGAATGGCTCTTGTTGACATGGGGCCTTGAAGCGGGCATTCCAAGATGGAGGTGATTAATGGATAGGAAGAAGATCCCTCCTCCATCCTATTGTATTCTGGTTTCTAACTTATTTAATCTTTGTTCTTTTTAATATTTAATGTTGTCACATTTTAAATATTTTGTACTTTTGCTTTTATGATGATGTAAGTGGCCCAGAGTCGCTTGACAGTGAGATAGGCAGCATATAAATTTAATGAAAAATAAAAAAAATATGCTTTTACAAGTACATCTGATTTGTCATCATGGAAAACTGAACATTTTGTCAAACTGATGTGCCTTCCTATATAAAAGACTTCATAGGCAAGCAAATCTTTTTTTTAAAAATTGCTGAAAGATAACAATGTTCGGTATTATCTAAGAACATATAAAACAGTATGTTAACAGGATCAGAAAAAAAGGACAGGGAAGGTGATACAGTGATTATCACAGAATCTTGGGATATCAACCTAAGTGTTAAAACTAGCATAAAACTTTTGAAATTGTATAAACCAGATGAAAGAAATGACCATGAGATCAATTAGGAATTATCCAATAGAATCCAATAGAAGTGGATTCTGGAAATTGCTAAGTTTTTCATTCTTACTCTAAGTTTACGAAAAATTTCAGTACAGAGGTGTATTTGCAATACTCACTGTAATACGCATATAATACAGTATCTTCAATTTCTCTTGTAACATTGGCATCAGCCCAGTCCTACAAATGTCCACAGAAGAAGAAAACACTGTTAGAGTACGTAAGCCGCAATTTTTATGTCCAGTTAATTTTTTAAAAAGATCAATCTCTGCAACTGTGCAAACATATAGTCTAGTTATATATATAATTAATCACCTGTATAAATAATATTGAAGCCCTTTTAAAAGTAATATTCAAGAATTTTGTCATGGTTCTGACAGATGAAACTCTTCAAAAGAGGCCATTTCAGCAGTATTATATTACTTATATCAAGAAATAAAATAAAGGGGGGGGGAAGCATACAGTATTATTTAAGGAATTCATCTCTCTTAGAATGACATATGTATTCAGAATCTTTTCTGTTTTTAACCATATTCAAACAAATGTTTCTTTTTTAAATATTTTCTCTGGTAGATCCCATCATCTATTTTCTTAATTTTCACTTTGATCTTTTTCCTTTGATCAGTATCTTTCTTAATCAATTGATTTGCTGAATCAAAATTTTTTTCCATATATTCATGATTGCTGCTATAGATATAAGAAGTAAATCAAATGTTTCTTTTTTTGTAGATGTAATGTCCTTAATTTATATAGCTTACTGTTTTCTACTATTTAATTGCTTTTCCTGAAAAAGAATTCCACAGTGATGGCGATGTAAAAAAATGGGATTTTTGAATGCTTTGTCCTGCTGGCTGTGGAATTCTGGGAGTTGAAGTCCACATGCCTTAAAATTGTCAAGGTTGAGAAATACTGTGTTAGTGCTTATTTCTGTAAAAAAAATAGGGCTGGCCACTAGGGGGCAGATTGGTTTTAAATTCAGAGAACACCTACCCGGCGTATAAGACGACCCCGGACTTTTGAGAAGATTTTCAGGTTTAGAAAGTCATCTTATACGCCGGAAAATACGGTAGATTAGATTTGGAAAAAGTTCAGATGTTATTTTCTTTTACACTGACCAACGTCAGAAGTACAAATTCTGAGAATGATACTTTCTGTTGCAGCAAATAGAGGTCCCAAGTGACCTGCATACATACACAAGGCCCAGTGAAATATTCTGTAAAACTGACAGCCTTTTCACTTCTGTGGAGGTTAAAGACCTAGATGAGAATTTCCTGCAATACAGTATCATTCTGAAGGAAATTCTGTGCTGCCTTCACCAAGTATTTGCAGTAGATCTCTAAAATGCTTGTCAACTGTCATAATTCTGATTCTAAATACCAAATATAATTAAATAATGTTTTGAATTATCCTAAATTGTTTTCCATGATCACCTGCAAGACATATGGTAAATATTTTTTTATATTCTCTGTAGCACTTGGTTATCAACTAAACAGTACTAGATATGCTTAACATTCAGATACTAAGATGTTGGGTACATCTTACAATTGTTAACAGTTACTTTCCTAGCATCAATGTCACCAAAAACAATATACTGTACTTAGGTTGCCCTTACTAACAACCAATGCAAATCACATCAACTTGATAAGCAAATAAGAATTCGCATTGCAGAATACAAGCAGCAGCATCTCAATATTATGGTTTGGAGAAGATGGATTGATTACATTCAGAGGAAATATGAGATTGAAAAGTATTATCTTGCTTTTGAGTAGATTTTAGATAATTATTATTAGTTTTAATTATTTTATTATTTTTGACTTAATTTGTTAATATTTGTTGGGAGAAGGAGTTAAAGTGTGTTATGGTTTTGATTGATAGTATAGTTGATTAATGTTACTTAGATTATGTTTATTTTATTTTTTATCCTGTAATCAGTTCTGGGAAGTGGGGGAGGGGGGAAGGGGTGGGGGGGTTTATATTGTAATAAATTTATAAAATTTTTAAATAAAAAAAAATACTTCTTGTTTTCCTAAGCTACGCGCACTTAGGAAAAAACTACAAGATCTCACTTGTATGAAACTCTAGATAACATTTCTTTCCCTAAAGTAAATTTCTTAATATTATTTTTAAAAAAATCTTTTAAAAAATGTTCAATAAATCTTACCAAAGCATCTAAAGTTATAATGCCATAAACGGGAATTGTTATTGATTTAAATCATTAATAAAGAAGAATCGATATATTATACATGTGTGGTTTTAAAAATACTTTAATGGCCTGTTTTAGCATAACTGCTTTCTTTTGTAATGTAGTCCGTCTCTGTGTATTTTATTTTATGTGCTTAATATATTTTTATGCAAAGATGCCCTTTGGTTTCACCAGATCGTCAAAGGAGTCTATGGTACCAAAAGATTAATAATTGCTGCTTTAAAGCACAAAATCTAACTTCAATTATAATGAATTGCACAATATCACTATTGATACTACTACTAATAATAATAATAAAGTTGGAAGAGACCTTGGAGATCATCAAGTCCAACCCCCTGCTCAGGCAGGTAACACTATACCATTTTGGACAAATGGCTGTCCAGTCTCTTCTTAAACACTTCCAGTGTTGGAGCATTCACTGCTTCTGGAGGTAGGTTGTTCCACTGGTTAATTGTTCTAACTGTCAGGAAGTTTCTCTTTAGTTCTAGGTTGCTTCTCTCTTTGGTTAGTTTCCATCCACTGCTTCTTGTCCTGCCTTCAGGCGCTTTGGAAAATAGCTTGACTCCCTCTTCTTTGTGGCAGCCCGAGATATTGGAACATTGCTATCATGTCCCCCCTCGTCCTTCTCTTCGTTAAACTAGACATACCAAATTCCAGCAACCGTTCCTTATATGTTTTAGCCTCCAGTCCCCTAATCATCTTTATTGCTTTTCTCTGTACTCTTTCTAGAGTCCCAACATCTTTTTTACATCGTGGTGACCAAAACTGGATGCAGTATTCCAAGTGTGGCCTTACCAAGGGATTGTAAAGTGGTATTAATACTTCACATGATCTTGATTCTATCCCTCTGTTAATGCAGCCTAGCACTATGTTGGCTTTTTTGGCAGCCGCAGCACACTGCTGGCTCATATTTAAATGATTGTCCACTAGAACTCTGAGATCCCTCTCACAGTTACTACTATTGAGTAAGGTTCCCCCTATACTATACCTGTACATTTGTTTTTTCTTGCCTAAATGTAGAACCTTACTTTTTTCACCATTGAATTTCATTTTGTTAGATAGCACCCAGTGTTCAAGTCTGTCCAGATCTTCCTGTATCCTAATCCTGTCTTCTGGAATGTTGGCTATTCCTGCCAGCTTGGTGTCGTCTGCAAATTTGATGAGTTCCCCATCTATCCCCTCGTCCAAATCGTTGTTGAAAATGTTAAAGAGCACTGGGCCCAGAACAGAGCCCTGGGGCACCTCACTACACACTTCCCTCCATGTAGATGTGGTTCCGTTGAGGATCACACGCTGAGTACGGCCATCAGTCAGCTACAGATCCATCTGGTGGTGATGCTGTCTAACCCACATTTATCTATCTTATCAAATAGTAGGTTGTGATCTACTGGTTGTGATCTACTTTGTCAAATGCCTTACTGAAGTCCAAGTAAATTATATCCACAGCATTCCTCTGGTCCACTAATTTTGTCACTTGGTCAAAGAATGCAATAAGATTTGTCTGGCATGATCTATTTTTGACAAACCCATGTTGGCTTTTAGTAATGACTTTGTTTGCCTCTAAGTGTTCGCTGATTCGTTGTTTGATTATCTTTTCCAGAATCTTCCAAGGTATTGAGGTCAGGCTGATAGATCTGTAATTTCCTGGATCCATTTTTTTTCCTTTTTTGAAGATGGGAACTACATCAGCTCTTTTCCAGTCCTCTGGTAGTTCCCCAGTGCTCCAGGATCTTTGAAAGATATAGTTCAGTGGTTCTGAGATTACATCTGCCAGTTCCTTGAGAATCTTGGGCTGTAATCCATCTGGTCCTGGTGATCTGAACTCGTCTAGGCTGGAGAGGTGCTCACTTACCATTTTCTTGCCTATCTTAACTTGTATTTCTATTCTGTTTTTTATGGCACTATTTTTGATAGGTTGGTCTGTTTTTTCCCTTTGTGTAAAGATAGATGCAAAAAACGAGTTAAATAGTTCTGCTTTCTCCCTGTTGCTTGTCACCTTCTTGCCACTTTCATCCACTAATGGACCAATCGTTTCCTTCACTTTTTTCTTGTTTCTTAAATGTTGAAAGAAGCTTTTGTTATTTTTGACTTTGGTCGCAAGCCTTAGTTCATTTTGAGCCTTAGCTTTCCTCACTTCATCTTTGCAGGCTCGGGCTATTTGCTGATATTCTGAATTAGTTATGTGCCCCTTTCCACTTTCTATACTTGTCCTTTTTATCTTTCAATTTATCAGAGAGTTCTTTATGCAGCCATGCTGGTTTCTTTTGAGAGGTGTTATTTTTCCTCTTTGTTGGTATTGTGCGAGACTGGGCTTTTATTATCTCTCTTTTCAAAATTTCCCAAGCTTCTTGAGTTGTTTTCCCCTGGAAGATTCTCATCCATGGAATCCTTCCCAAACCCTCTCTAAGTTTATTGAAAGTAGCTCTTGAAGTCCAAGACTCTAGTTTGACTGTGTTCTAGTGCTTGTGCTTCCATAATGTTAAATTCCAATACTGCATGATCACTTCCTCCCAAGGTTCCTATGGCTTCAACACCTTCTATCATTTCATCTCTGTTAGTGAGAATTAGATCCAAAATGGCTAATCCCCTAGTTCCTTTCCCTACTTTTTGGGAGACAAAGTTGTCTGCTAGGTTTGTCAGGAATCTGTTTGATTTTCCACTTGGTGCAGAGTTTGTCTCCCAGTTGATGTCAGGGTAGTTAAGGTCCCCCATTGCTATTGTGATGTGCTTCCTACATACCTTAGTTAACTGATTAGCAAAAACTTTATAGAAAAACTAAAACTTTATAGAAAGAGGACATACAAAATCTAGTACGGGAATGATGTGGAATTAGAATAATATAAAAGAAAGTCATTCAACTATGGGAAAAATAGAATTTAAGGATCTGAAAGAGAAAAGCTATCAAGGAAATGGTCAGACTGAACCTGGGTCAAATACAGTTTTGAGAAATAGCATCTATCTATTCAGGAAGAGACAGCACTTCCTCTAATACTTTCGGGATCTTAGCTTTTGCTTTGTCACTCAAGTCCAAGTAGTTCCAGTGGCAGAGGGGCCTTTTGCTGACATTGCTGATTACCAGCTCCAGCCTTTCCAGAACAGAGATAATTTAGCCACAATTATTAACAAACATATAACTTCCTAACTGCATTACTGTAATGTATTATGCATGAAACTGCCTTTCAAGACCATCTAAAATTTTCATTTGGTAGAGAACGTGAAGGCTATTTCACTAAAGACTACTGGCCAATCAAATTCTTCTTCCACACTTCTCCCAAATCTCCTCCAGAGATAACTTGAACACTCTAAGGAGATTTGGGGGTGTTTCAGAACTAAGAAAGCAAAGGACGCTTTATGCACATGCTGTAATACATACACAGCTGCCAGAATTGGAGCCATCTACTTTCATACTCCCTTTCCTAAATTCCAGGGTATCCATTATGATATTTAAATTTTGCAGTGGGAGCAGTGGGGTTGTTCAGTGAGCCAGAACACATAGTTATAGCTGATTGGTTGAAGAGCGCTGGCTCTGCATGAGGCAATCTGCACTGTGATTGATTGCTGAGGGTATGGAGGGGGAATTTCCTTTTTTCCTGGCTTTTTCTTCTATGTCCTGTGCGCTCTGTGATTTACCTGATGATGTTCCTGTTTGCCTATCTTGTTTGGTGTATGTAAAATATATTTATTTATATAAAACTACAAGTTCGTGTCAGAGTCTCTGACTTCATTTGGACACCTGCTGCACGATTCCCTGACAGTATCTGTATCTATTCTCCAGGTGAAAATAGTACCAAGAGAGAAATAATTACAGGCTACCACCTGTTCATTAAAGACCCCACTCCAGAATCCAACTGGATAGTTCAGCAAATCCCTTTCCTCAGATTTTAACTGAAGAATCCAATTTCTCCCTTACAGTAATGTTTAAAAATTTTGAACTCTATTTTTTGATGTTACATAAATGTGAACTAAAATTGATCTGTTCTCCATATCAATCAATCTGTTATTCTCCAGATCAATTGTTCTCCAGATCAATCAATCAACTAATCAATCAATCTCCTAAGACTTGATACAGAAAATCCAATTAAACAAATGAGTAAAAAACATTATGTTTGTTCATATTCATCTATAAGAAACTATAAGATGCTAAGAACTGCATTTCAAAATCAGCATTTAGTAATCAGTGAACTGTCTGAGCAAGCAGAGGATTCGGACAGACACAGAACTGCACATAATCCATCATATAGCACCAGCAGGGGTAAACAACAATTCAAACCTCATTTGACTAAACCAGGGGTAGGCAACCTTAGCTCTTTTATGACTCATGGACGTCAACTCCCAGAATTTCTGAAAGTCCATGAGTCATAAAAGAGCCGAGGTTGCCTACCCCTGGACTAAACTTTTTTTCCTGCCAACTTAATTTTACTGGCTCCTGTTCCTCAGAGTTTTCTAGGTCAAAATCCTCATAACCAGTTAGTCCAGTATATTGTTTTACAACTAGTTATTTATCTCAGGAGCTCTCAGCCTAAACTCACAACAACAACAACAAAATCCAACTTCCTTCCCCTTGAAACCCACCCCTTTCCTCTCATTGGGAGGGCAGTATTGCATTTTGAAAGCATAAGTAAAGCTTTAATAAATTAATGGAGGGAAATTGTGTTTGTTAAAATAGAATGTCCATTATATCTGAATATGCATGCCTATTTTACACATCCTTAATCATTTGAACAGGATGTTATGCATATGCAGAAGCATGCAAAACATGTATAGTTTGTTGTACCTGAAGTCCAGTAATTTGAGGTCTGTTAAGTCAAAGATCTACTGTTCTTAAAATTCCCTAACTAGCCACTATGCCACTCAAAATTTAGAGTCTCAATTAAGAGCTATTCACCCAGGTACTCAAGTTTAAGACTTTCCATTAATCTACTGAAGTGTACAGTATATCAGCTGTTGAAATATTTGTGTCCCTTTCTACCTGTACATGAAGTTGATGAAAAAATGAGAGTACACTTTGTAGATGGAGGTTAATAATGACAACAGATATGATGTATAGAATAAGGAATTGGAAATCTTGGAAAATCAATGGGCCCAAATTTTAAGAATCTTTAAGTCATTGGGGATGAAGTTAATTCATCAGAAAAACTTGTTCAATAATTATAATTTCCAAAGAATGTTTAAAAGAAAATTGTGTGTGTGTATATGTGTTGTCACTGTAAGAAATCAGAAGATTCCTTAACTCAGATAAATTGGTTGTATTCTTTTATGGATTCTTTTTGGTGTCATGTCACTGTGTATTATAATGTAAGGTGGTTCTACATTCTTGTCCCAAAGGTGCTTTTTCAAGAGGCAACTGGACTTTCATGTTTCTCTTTGAAGATGTTTTGCTTCTCATCCAAGAAGCTTCTTCAGCTCTGACTGGATGATGGGGAATGGAAGGATTTATATTCCTTACAGACAGCTGATCATTTAGAATTTAGAATGACCAGCTGTCTGCAAGGAATATAAATCCTTCCATTCCTCATCATCCAGTCAGAGCTGAAGCAGCTTCTTGGATGAGAAGCAAAATATCTTCAAAGAAAAACAAAGTCTAGTTGTCTTCTGAATAAGCATCTTTGAGACAACCATGACCTGTATGACTGAGAATCTCCATAGACATTGTTCTACGTTCTTGTTTTATTCCTGTGATTACATGCAGAACCAATATTTTTCAAAACGTTATTCTAGCAAACCAGCTTTTCATCTAGTATCAGATACCTTCCACTGGATTTAACACTATCTCTCTTTTCTGCTACCAGTATTAATCATTTCATTTAAAAATCGGTATTAATGGCAGGAATAAAACAAAAAGATGGAACCAGCATGCTTGAAAATATTTTTCTAGAAAACCAGGTTATATCCAACATTATGCATCTGGTATCAGGCAATTCCTATTGTGATTAGTCTTCTTTTAATATAAACTGTACCGAATTAATTTATATCCCTCAAGCTTTGCCAGAACGAAACTGGGCTTTCTAAGTGTTTGTTCAGTAGACGTACTAACTTTATTTATCCAACTTCTAGACTGCCTTTTAATTCTGGCAAACATTCAGATCAAAAGCTTTTACAAAAACCACATTTAATATAGAACAAATGTTTCACTATTTTTTTAAAAAAGAAACAAGCAGCAATCTAATTATCAAAATATAAAATTCAATATGATGCATAATTAAATCAGTTTTATTGCAGTTTGCTTTCTAAGGTTTAAAACAATTTTGTCTTTCCAAAACAAAACAAAAACAAAAAAGCCAGAAGAATAGCATTTGTTATAAAAATTATAGAAAGTGGGGGATGAATAAATACCTTAAAGGTTCCATTCTGGTTCTTCACATAAGAAACTAGAAAAATGTCCACAGGAAGGAGAGCTGATGTAATAAGTGCAATAGCCAAAGCAAAAATAGATGTTATGGTAGAAATTACTTCGCTTTCCTGCCTACTCTGGTACTTGCGGACATAAACCCAGCAAAACACCAAAATGACCTAAAAAAAAAAATAATACAAGTTATTATAACAAAATAATAATTTCAGCATTAATTGTATTCTTTATATACACACTGAAGTAACACTGCTATCTTTCAAATTATGCTTATTTGGAGAAATTTATTCTCCAATACTTGTTAGAAAAATTACATAAATATTATCGAAGTATAATTTCAAGCTATCAATTGCCACATCTCTGAAGCAGACTGCATCCTCATCTCTCATTGCACTTGACTTTTTTTAATCAATTATAATTATTTTAACATATTGACTGTTTTGCATGTAGCACATTTCCTTTTGTAAAATGTTGATATATGTCTGATATAATAACAATGACCTAGCATCTACTCTTGTAGTACAAAGAAACTCTTGACTAATCTTAAAAAGTTAAGGCCTGAACAGTATTTGAAGGGAAGATACTCAAAAGACCAGGGCTGTAGATTAGACTAGGAAGATTAAAAAACTAAAAGAGAAAGGCAGCAATGGTCAATTCTGTAATTTTATAATAAAAGTACACAGATATGCCAATGAAGTTAGCAGGAGACAAATTCCATTTGAAGTAAATGTTACCTTTTTTCAGTTAACTGTGGGTAAGAATGTCATCAAATACAAATAAAATAAAAAAATCATTTTTATTGTTAATTAGCACATCAGAGGGAACTCTGTCACTAAACTGTTTGCTGCAGCACATTAGTTCACTAAATAAGCAATTTCATACAACATATTAAGAAATTACATAGTTTTGGGTTTTGGCTTAATCCTAATGTATGTATGAAAACCCCTAATTCTATTTAACAAACCATGGTTATGTCCAGATTTTCCCAGGCATGTATGGTCCTCTACTGTCTGGCCAGGAAACCTGTCCCAAAATGCCCATGATGGAGGCAATGGAATTACAGGTATTAATCAGGAGAAACAGAAGCAGCACTTCCTAGCTGCGTTTTCTATAAAAATATCCTGCCTGTATCTGCTACTGACCCAAAGTTAGTCCTTTTTGTAAAAAAAAAAAAAAAAAATAAGGGAGAGAGATTTATTAATGCTGGCTTAGTTTTACAAATTTGGGATATTACAAAACCATATGATTTCATACTTCAAACACTGGAGTAGTGGCACTGATTTGCAATTTCACACAGGGCACACTGCTTTAAAAGCAGTAGAGGCTTTTGATTTTTCAAGACTGCTCCAGGCTTGGTCAGCTCTGGCGGGCACAACCAAAATAACCCTAACTAATTTAATGAGTTGCTCAGTGCTAGAGAAGCATGACTAAGTTTGTATACTTTTTCTAAGTTTCAAAAAAGCCAAAACGATTCGGCTTCAGCGCTGCGCAGCCCACGACAGAGGCGGCGAGTCTCCTGACAGTTAGTTACACCGGTTGAACTGCTGCCCCAATACACGCACTTTCCAATATCACCTTGACTACTACTAGCTCAGTTTACTTGAGGAGTAAGCCCGACTGAGCAAACTCCAGCTCGCCGCGGGACGGTGCCGAGCCATGAACTCAATTGCCTCCCCAGAAACTATTTCGCCCCATAGTCGCTGAGAGCGGGGAGAAGCTTCGTCAGCGGCGAGGAAAGAAACGGGACAGGGAGGAAAAGGAATGGAAGGCCAAAGCCCTCGTTTATCCCACCTACCAGTAAAGCAAGGCCGAAGAGACACCATCCCGTCACCAGGTCCGACTCGGCGGTGAAGGCCACCATCTTTACTTCCGGCAACAGCACTAGCGCGAAGAGCAGCAACGCCGGAGAGGTCGCCGAGAGGGGAGGAGCTAATTGGGGGAGGGGGGGAGGCCGTTGCCGTAGGAACCTCCAAACCACGCTTTCGCCGGAACGCCCCGACGTCATTTGGAATGTTGCAATTGGCTGATGTCATAAAGCAGCAATCAATGAGGGAAAGCAAGCTCAGCGAGGTTCTTATAAGAGGCTTTCGGGTGAGAAAAATGTGCCATTCAGTTTTGTCAGCTTTCCAGACACAAAATCTTCATTTTGGCAGAAGCATATTTTGCAGAAATCTGGTTGACACAACTTTTCTGGATTAGTTTCTCTACTGCAGACAAGGGTAAAGCTATACACAAATGACCTTGTTTAGCAACTATGATTAGGACTGGCAATCAGTTAAACAAAGTATTCACTAAACGGAATTGTCACAGGGCTTATGATCTTAGTTTAGCTTTCCTTTGTTTTGCGGACCTGCGAAGGTTGGAAATGTAAGGATTGGTCACAAGGCTATGTTTTCATCAGCAGCATAACTATGAATGATTGCTAAACGAGTCAGTCACTAAACGAGGGATATCTGTACGCATTCAAACAGAATTTATGCCTACTGCAGTTTACAGAAATTAAAGAGACTAAATAGATGGACAGATTTTCTAGGATTTCAAAATCAATGAATATTTGTTTTTTTTCTCATTTTCACATAAGATTGGAAAGCACGTTCAAAACAGACATAACCTTAATCCTGTCTGACCTGACAACAGGTTTATGCCAATTTTATCCTTTACACATATGAGCATTGTTTTCAGAAAAAAAAATGGGGGTATTCTTTTTCTGGGAGAGATATCAAAGAAGGCTTTGATCCAAAGCAAAGGTCCACTCCAATAGAATTTTGCAATCTAAGGTGACAAAAAATGTCAATATGGTGGTTGCAAAAGCTTTCTTCCCTTTTTGTTATCATACAATTTATGGCAGGGTGACTTTCTCAGCCCAACACATCTGACAGGCATGTTATGGGGAAAATAGAAGGCAGGAGTACTAGGTATGCTTGCCGCCTTGAATTGACCAAAATATATTTTAAAAGTCAAGATATTTTTTTTATTATGGTTATCTTACTGACTTTGTATGCATCAGTAAGCCTTCATATTATACCAGCTTAGTTTATCTCAGTAGGCCTTTCTGATATACTTTCCTGGTAGGTTTTGCCAGATGTTAACTACTATTCAATTTCATCTCCTTGCAGTATATTGTTAAAAAGTCCTGAAAAAGGAGTACAGGGATCTTTGAAGTTAAGATATTATAATTCACTAAAATAAATTAAAAATAAGTAAGCTAGAATAGAATTACATTAGTACAATCCTGTATTTGAAGAGAAACCAGATCTTATTTGAAAAAAAATATAAGTATAAATTATATATCAAACAGCATTTTGTCCAATCAAAACTAGCCAATTTGAAAGAGACAATAATTTAAGCTGATGAATAATTTCTCAGTAGAAATTAGCAAGATTTTTCATCATATTTGCCTTTGAAACAATTCAGCCAAGCACATCAAGACAAGCCATCTAAAAATTACATTTCTAAGGCCACGAGAGAGGACATTCTGTCTAAAATCTCTTATTTCATGGCTGACAGTTATAGCCTAATTATGGGACATCCCCTTCCACGTCGCTAGTGTAGAATTCCGCAGAATTTGAAAAACTCAAGGAAAAATTTGGAGACAAAATATTTTCTTCACTTTTTTTGCATGATTCCTATGTAAATATCTGAAACAACTGCCTCTCAATATGATTATTTCATGTTTGTTCAATAAACATGGCAGCTCAACTTTGTCTATATTATATTTGGCTAAACATCTAACTCAGGGGTAGGCAACCTTGGCTCTTTTATGACTCGTGGACTGCCTATCCCTGATCTAACTGATCTTGTCTTTTTCTCTCCTCTTGAACGTGGAAGATTTCGCTGTTGTAGCGAATCCTGGGCATTATGCTAACAAATAAAAGAAAAAAACGAACACCAGGATATAATAAACCAACCTGTTTAATATAATGGTGTTCGTTTTTTCTTTTCTTTTATTTGTTTTATATATATATATATATATATATATATATATATATATATATATATATATTAATAAGAATAGTGAAAATATTGGTAATTGACTATATATATATAAAACAAAAATGTAAAGTTAAACATGAAAAACTCAAACATGAAATCTTAATTTAGCAACATTTTAAATGTTTTCCCATTTAATTCAGTAGATCTCACCTTGGACTTTAAATATGAGTTTCAGGGATGCTCTTTGATTTGATTTTTAAAGCTTTCTGAAAGTAGAGTTCCATTCATTTATGATATAGTTATCAGTCGAATGGATTTTCCCCCAGTCTTCCAAACTGCAAGGAAAAATCTTAGCATGTACATGCAAATCTGATCTCACAACTGCTGAGGCGTACTGTATAAACATTCCCTTAATATTTGTGGAAAGCAGAGGTCATCAAATTGAAACAGGTCTATTTCTCTCCCAGAAATGGAAGGACAAATCTTACTGTCATGGCCACCCACTTTTCTTCCACAGAGGGGTGGAGATTGGAGATAAGAGCAAAAGGCATCTATTCCATGCTCCGGAGCCATTATCAGGTCTCTTTCCTTCTGGCTCCCTTTTTCTACTTCCTGTAAAAAGAAATTGATGAAGTACAATCAAAATGAATTTTTAATGCATTATAAAATCTTATGTACGGAGGTTGTCCTAATTTCTTACTATCATATAAGATACTTACAGTGTTCTGATATTTCTTTTTTAATTCCCTGTACTTCCTTTCTTGCCTTTTATCATTGCTGTCAACATCTCCTTCTAATCCATAGGGGAAGGGAGTATAAGGGAAAAATAAAATTAGAACATTAGTCACATTAGAAAGAAGCTTAAACAGAAAGGATAATAGTGATAAAGGAGAAAATTTGTAGCTTGGGGTTGAAATGAAGGGTCCTTGGTGCTCTCTGAGCTTGGTTGTTTTCTTGCAGATGTTATCAGACTAGGTAACATTGTCAGTGCTAGTAAGGTGTGGGGTTTATATTCTAGTGGCTTGCCCTGTCAGTGTTGGTGGGAGTAGTCTTGGAGGTCCATAGTCAACTTATAGGGACTAAGATGCTCCTTTCTGAAAGTTGCTTTTTCTTCTTAGATGTTTTGTTTGTGCAGAGGGAGCAATCAGTGATGTAAAAAATGGGTTGATTGTCATGGGAGCAGATATATGGTGGGTGGGACAGCATCCATACATTGCAGCAGTTGTCTCGATCTGTCATAGCCAAAAACGGCAGGAAAGGTGAGGATAGCCCTTTCCTCTCCTCCACTATTTTGGGCTATCCACCTGATGAATTGAAATAGGGATAATGTCACTCTGAACTTCCTCCAGTGTTAAAAAGAAACACAGGATAGTGGAACAATATTCACTAATTATTGTCTTCTGGGTTCTTAACCAGGACTAATGGCCAATGCAGTTTAGCATACCAGAAGACTAGAAGACACATTATTTGTTTGTTTAAAATGTAAGAGATAAATGATTTTAAAAATTAATTAGGAAGAGCGATTTGAGGGCTCCAAGCAGCCACATGATTGCATATTTCTCTGTGTGCCCCAAGCAAGGGCGCAGAGCCATGTTTCCCAAGCTTTCTGGAAGGCTATCCTATGGATATGTTTCAATTGAAATGTAAGGTCCCAGTCCCTTACTTGAACTTGAGATACCATATCAATCTAATCAGATAACCCAAGCGGAGACTTCTTTATCAAGCAGCACTTTATTTGATCAAATTAAGCAGCTGGGTGGCCAACAATCTGGAACGCTGGCAGTTACACCCAGAAGTGCCATGCATTAGAAAGTTGATAGTATTGCTTTATAAACTTTGTTAGCCAATGAAAATCAGACAACAGAGCCATTACATCATAAGAAAGACATCAATCATTTCTATACACTCTCTTATTCCCTCCTTCAGTATATCACATCCATGTACACGTTTCCCAAGCTTGCATGAAATTTCTCTAGTGCAAAAGCTGATTAGAAAAGGCAAGAAAGCAACAGTTAGACTAAACAATTTCCCTTTGTTCCAGAACCCTTCAGAAGATATTAATACTGTTATGTCCCGAGCCTTGCAAACGGGCTCGGGGCATTTGCAGGCAGTCCCGGGCAGGTGTAAGCTGCCCGGGACCAGACAGGCTGTCGCCAGCGCCTGTGCGCATGCGCGGGTGCTGGCGCGGGAAAAGTAACACATTGACCCGGGAAATGCCTATATAAGAGGCTGGGAGCTTTTGGGCGTTGCTGAAGCCTTCATCTGTAAGCTGAACACAGAATAAAAGAAAACCTGAGAACTACAACTGCTTCTCGTGTCTTGCCTTTTGCGAAGGACTCAACACTGGCGACTAAGGTGGGATGCCTTACATCGACTGAAAAGGAAAAGGTGTAAGCTTACCCAAGTGAGTCCTGAGCGGCGGAATGGCGTTGACTTGGCAGCTACCCGCCAATCCAGTGCGCATTCAGGGGTAGGCTGGCTGATAGACCCGTCTCCTGAAGATGGCAAAGGTTGGAAGGCTTTCGGAGTTTGACGTCTCACATCCAGAGCGGTGGGAGTCCTACGTAGCCAGGGTGGAAAACTACCTCAAGGTGAACCAAGTGAGAGAAGATAGCTTGAAGGCTGCCACCCTGCTTTGTGTCTGCGGTCAAGACGCCTTCGAAATCGCAGAGAACCTTGCAGCACCTGTTCCATTAGAGTGTGTCAGCTACACAGATCTAAAGAAGCTACTGAAGGAGCACTTCCAGCCCAAGATGTCCGTCATCGCATGGCGCCACACCTTCGAGCAGAGGGATCAACGATCTGGAGAGTCGACCAAAGAGCACATCGCCGCATTGAGGAAGGCCGCCAAGCACTGCGAGTTCAAGGACCTCGAAGAACGACTGAGGGACCGATTCGTGTGCGGGTTAAGGCATCGAGATCTACAACAGAGGCTTTTCGCCAAAGAAGACTTGTCCTTTCAAGATGCCTTAAGAGAGGTCACCGCAGAAGAAGCAGCAGGCGACGCCGTCAAGAACA